AGCCATCATCCTCCTCACCTCCAGCGCACTGCCCCCCCCCCCCTCTCTAATCCCGGTCACTGCAACTTGTCTTCTGACTCAGTCGAACCAAATTGAGCCAAGCCAAATTTCAGTGGTTCCTCTCAGTTCTTTAAGTGAATTTCATTGACGTTTGAAAATTCGTGTGCGGAGTGTTCCCTGCTCTCAGGGGAGGGAGAGGGGGAGGGGGAGGGAGGAGGGAGAGGGAAGAGATAAGCATACTTGTTTCTCATGAATAATTCTCGATATCCCGTTATTTGATTCGTTAAACAAACTTGACTATTTTCAGGCACAAGATTTCTTTAGAGATGAATTTGTATTGATAGTTGATTCCTTTTTAGATCTGAATGGTCTTGGCACGACCGGGCAGCCTATGTCATCAACAGGCCGCGCCAGTAGTTCAGCTGTATCCCAATCGAGCAGTACGTCGAAAACAGAGGTACAGTTGTAAAACAGTATAAATGAATATGAACTGAATTTTTGGGATTACATTTTTCTCTCGTATGATTTAGTCGCGCGAATAGGTAAGGCAGCAGGTATGGTGATAAATATTAAAAAGTGTGCGGAAGTCCACTACTCCCTTCACGGTCGAATTGTTGGGGCAACAGCCGATGCCGATGTAGTTAGACTGCCAACGTTAGGCCCTTCCCATATCTATAAATACCTAGACGTAGAACAAAGAATGTTAGCGACGGATTCGTACTTCTTTGCATAACTTGAAAAAACACTTCATGGCGCGGCTACGCCTTTTTGTGTATTTCAGGATATTAATCGCAGAATTCCCGCAAAATGCCAGCACTTGCACAGTGTCCAGCAGCCAGGGCAGTGGGATTGCCGTACGGGTTGCAAGTACTCCAGCAATTACGTGGAGCACAAGGGACAGTGGTGCCACTGACGGATCGAGGGGACGGGGAGGGGATTGGGGGGAGGGGGGAGAGGGGAGGGAAGGCCCTCTCCCTTCCTGTCCAGTGGCACAGGTAGCAGTGCTAAAAGTGAAGAATACTCTCTTCCGTTTCTCTTTCCCTCCTCCTCCCCCCCTCCCCCCCCCGCCCGCTCCCCGATCGTTGACGTTACGAGTGGGGGAGAGAGGGAAGGGGGAGGAGGAAAGAGGAGAGGGGAAGAGTGCGGAACTTCCGAATTAGTGACGGACCGGGAGGGAAGAAAAATCGCCTTTCCCCTCTCTGCCCTCCCGAGAAAACGGCCTGATTCTGCCTGTGAGTAGTGCAGTAGTCTGGCCCGTCGTGTCCGGATGTAAAGAGGAGTGGTTCGTATACCGTCCCGGTCCATAATCTTTTCACAAAAGCATACTCAATCCACAAGAATTTTTAACTGCCAGAGCCGCGGAGCTAAGAGACTAAAAATTCGCAAATGCTATCCTTGAGCAAGTATAGGGCTGCGAAAAGAGGAAATCAACTTTTAGATCCTCCTGTCACCTCATTTCTAAATTTCGCATTAATTATGAATGAAAAAAATGGCAAGAATATGAAGTCTTATTTTTTGAGTGATGGTACTCACTCTGCCTGAGAGTGAGAGATCACGCTGTTAAAACGCATCATCGTACCGGCTTTCGTTTGGATAAATTTGAGTAAATTAGCTGATTTGGCTTTCATTTGGATAAATTAGCGGATTTTGAATGTAATTTGAAAACAAACTGATTCAGGCTGTGACGTTTCCTGAAAAATTGAAAATCCTACTGGAAAACGATAATCGTCTGGTGGAAGGAGGCCTCAAAATGCCGAAACTACCCGCCCGAGTCAGCGTTTCGAGAATCTTCGATGAAGTGAGCTGATTTTTTTACGAATTCATTGCATACACATCTCTTCTTCATTTACATGTTTTTCGGCATTTTTTAAAAGTAGAATACTACAGCGATTGGTCAAAACTGTTCAAAGATTATTACTGATTTGGTACTACTGACAAGGGAAGAGGGTTTAAAATGCTTAAATTTACCTCATTGTCGTCTTATCTCATTCTTGCCTCCTTTCCTCATTCTTTCCTGCTTTCTGTATTCAGTACGCCTTCGACACTTCAGAATCCAAGATCAACCTGGATGTTGCAGTCGGTCTACTCTTATTTCTCTGACCACATTTGAAGTTACGCAAAGAGTTTCTCACGCAGAGTTTTGATCATAGTTTTGAAGACTATCAGTATGTTTTTTAGTTAGAGAAATCCTTGAACCCAGTCACAGAAGACACAGTCTTGGTCGTTTTTGTGCAGTAATCCAACTGATTATTTTAGTTGGTCGTTTCATCTACCTCTTATCGAAAAATTTCCATTTTAGCAACCAGGATAATGTTTATTCTTCAAAACATGTCATAATTTTACTCGTATTAAAAGAGTGCGCTACGACAGCATTCCAGAGAATGCAAGGAGTATCGGCCGGAATTTTCTCAGTTTTCTTTTTTAAAAACAATCAGTATATTTGTCTTTGTTTAAGCATCAGAACATAGGTGGAAGGAGAACCGGAGCTGCACTGAGAGACAACTAAGCACCTTATAAGACTAATAACTGATCATTTTGATGATTCCCGCTCCTGCCGGCACCTAGAGCTCTGTCTGTGTTTACAGCTAAGGGATGAAACGCAGTCCACTGCTTCTTCACATGTTCATTCCATATCCAACTTGCGGTGCCCTGTTCCTGCCTTCTAATATTTCATTTCCTCGTTGACTTCCCAGTGTTTCAGTACGTTGCTTATGTTCGTCGATTGGACGCTGTTTGTGCACAAGTGAAAACGTACAAAGGGAGAGCACGCTACTGGAAGGATGTTGTTGCTTCGTTGGATGAATGCACCGATAACATGAAAGTAAGTATTGTTAAAGAAAGAGGTATTTTCCGCTAATATTGTAAGAACTAGCAAATTCGCAATTCTCTATTCTGAGCCTATCGAATCTACGTCAATTTCATGGCCTGAAACGCTGTTTAGCATCGCTGTTTAACGTTAATTCGCACTTCCTTGCGTTTCTCTCATTCTTGCTGCTGGCAATTCTAGCTTAACTTCTAACGCACTTTTTAATTAATAATATCCGCCACGTCAGATCAGAACGTTCTTTTTTTTTTCATCGGAGATATTCTTTATCCCGCTGACACCTTCTGTGCCTCATTCATTGGCGGATCCAGAAGAGAGGAGTGGGGGGAGGGGGGGGAGGGGGACGGATCTTCCGCACCCCCAGGGGTTCAGGTAGCAGCCGTTTTACTGTTTCACCGCCCTTCTCCCCCTTGCGGTGATTACAGTTTAGGGTTGACTAGCGGAAGAGAGGAGGGGCGAGGTGTAGTGATGAACGGGGGAGGGGAAGAAAAATCGCCCTCTCCAAGGAACTGCCCTGGATCCGCTTATGGCCTCATCCCTAGTTAAGCAAGATACTGAAGTTATTTGCATGAACAAACAGCTTTTTCCCCACATATCAGCAGGCCAAAACACAGTGTTGTGATGCTAATAAAAAGGCCCAAATTACGAGCTTTTTCTGATCAGTAGGCCAGAAGACAGTGCCATACTGTCAATAAAATGGTCCAGATAACGAATTTGGAGCAATTCTGACTTTTTTGCGGTAACCCGAATATTACTAGTTACGACAGAGAAATAATAATACCCTCATTTTAATCGCTAGAAAATATCAGCATGAACACTTTGAAACCGAATTATCACATAACAGCGTCAAGGTGCACTGTTAACGCCCTTTTCTAGAAACCGGGAGATATATTAACAACGGTTGAAATAAGAAGAATCAAAAAGGAAGGTGGGAAATGAGAATTACGAAATTAGTAAAATCATGATAAATACCTCTTTTCCCATAGCTTTGTTGAACTCCTTTGTATCGGAGGAAATTCTCCCATTCCATATCACGAGTTTGGACAATTTACGGTTTTGGCGAAGTCAGATGTTTCAGATCTTTTTCGATCTTCTTATTGAATCCGATTTATTGTATCCGATTGAGAAAACGCGCTATTTGAGTCTCACGAAAAGCCCGGCAAACGTCATTCGTTCCATTGATATAACAGGTGAGAAATATATGAATTTGGCTTGATTTTCGAAGAGTGGGTATGACAAGTATGAATCGGGGAGAAACAAAATCAGTGGTATGGTAGCCTTTCAGATTTGATGAACTTGTGACCGCTAGGAGGGGTATTTGATGGGTCTACATCCACTGGAGATGACTGCCGAAGGCAAATACCCATCTCTGTTTTATTTTTTATAAAAAACGGAATAGTTTGAGTGATTTTGTAATAATATTTTTTGTTTCATTTTTTATAAAAAATGGAATAGTTTTAGTGATTTTGTGTGGTAATGTTTTTGAATTTTCTGCAAAAGCTACTGTTCCCTTTCCCAAAGGCTGCTTGAAGCGGGCTGAAGGCATTTTGGCTTTCCATCACGCCAAGCGTATCAGTAAAATCTAGCTGAAGCAGGTCGATTGACCATAAAAACCGATATAAATCAAAAGTAGAAGATGAGTAATCGCTAATACCATGGGATCAAATTCGCCAACAGCTAGGAGCATATTTCGAACATGTTTTGACTAGTTACACGAAAAACCAAGGATTCCAAAAAGGGTCTCTTCATTATCCACTCTTTTGCTGGTTAAATTGTTCTACTGGCGCAAATCAGAAAATTAAGACCACATTCAGCTTGGTCACGGAGATGAAGCCATTGGCAGTATTTTTGGTGCCTTTGCTGCCGCTCAGACTACTTCGAGATGCCTTTTTTTTTCTCTCGAAAATAGTAATAGGAAAATATTTTAAAGTTGGAAGAAGACAAAAGCAAATAATATTAAAAAATCAGTAAAAATTGTAAAATATCTTAATAAAATTATTATAATGGTAAGAAATGTTTCGGTCCCTTAAGTTGTATACATTTCTTACCATTACCGCAGTTGAATCTCGTCAGGTACGACGATTGTGGTAATTAGTGTAAATTTGATTTTGATTTTAAATAGTTATGTTATATTAAAATTGAAATTAGCTGTATGGGAACTAGTGAATTGCGAAGAGAGTTTTGAGTTTTGTTTAGATTCTTAGAACGGAAAACAAAGTTGGCAATTTTATGTCCCTAAAAAATTTCATACATTTTGAGTTCAGCTAAGCGTTTTCTGATCATGGCGTTTTTAGATGTGGCCGAAGATCGTCTGGAGGAAGGCTTACGTGCATCGGATTATTACGGTTTCATTCATCTGCTTCGATTGATCGTCAAGTTTCAGGACATGATCCAGTAAGTCCTCTCATCTACAACTTAAATATATCAAATTCTGCCCCTCGTTATGCGTGGTTGCCACGTAAGGCCTCCTGAAAATTCCTGGCGGGAAAACGGATAATTCCGAAACCAGGAAAGCTGGGAGGCTTTTTTGCTAGGTCGCGGTGGAATGAGGCAAGAAGGTAGTATAGTTGCTGTTTCTACCTTTTAAATGGGAAGTGATAAATCGTCCTCCTCCTCCTCCAGGAAACCTCTCTGAACCTGCCTGCGCGTGAGCCAACCCTTTTTGGGGACCCCGAATGGTCATTTATTTCTTCGCAGGTGCCAAATACGTTCAGGTATGCAAAAATTGATTCGCACATTTTGCTGACCAATTTGATATTGCGCTTATCCCATTCTCTGCGATACTTTCAGTAATTATTCGTCTGAACATCCCATTTCTACAGCTCAAGCCTCCCTCTCTGCCATCAATGAGACACATCGTTTTTACGCGTTTTTTGCAGCTATGCAATGCAATAACGCATACTAACGGGGGGGTTGTCTGTGTGTTTGTGTGTGCGTCTATCATGCACTTTCATCTCAAAACCTGTAAAAGCTGCAGGT